TTTACAGAGGTTTGGTGTCAAACAGAAGGAGATGATTGCTTCATTTAAAACTTCAGTTGATGTTCTTGCTCTTTCTGCAACACCCATACCAAGAACCCTCTATTTAGCATTAACTGGGTTTCGTGATTGCAGGTAATACCTTAGTAAGTGTGGCATTTCTGCTTGACAAGTATCAAATCCTATACATTTGAAGTTTCAGTTGCTTTGTCTTGTTTACATTTGTTATATTCCAGTACCATTTTCTATGAATGGACTCCCTGATGCTTTCGGCTTACAGTTGCTATATAGGTAAATCTGAACCTAATAATAATACCAAATACACTATATACTCTTGAAGACTTGCATAAGTGGTATCATTCAAAACTCCTAATTTTAACAGAAGGGTTAACAATGTCTGCCTGTTTTAGATTAGGTTATCCCTAATTGATGTGGGTGATGCGATTACCTTCACATTAGAGGAAAACAGAAATCAACCAAGCAAGGACAAACAAAATCGAGAGCTTGAGAGATCGAATCAAAATACCTTAAATCGAGAGATGGCCCTGTTAGACGGTAGGCGAAGGCGAAGGCGAGATGGAGAGCAATCGACAGCAATCCTGTTACGCAGGCGAGTATCAAGATGGAGAGGGGCGAAGGCGCGAGAGAGATGGAGAGGGAGCGTGTACTGCGTAGGCGAAGGCGAGCCGAGAGAGAGATGAGAGGGAGCGTACTGCGTGCGTAAGGGAGATGGAGGCATTAAGAGGAATTCAGACCATGTTTTACCTCTAAATAAATCAGACCTAATTAGATGAATTAAGCACTTAATTTTTTAGAAAAACAAACGCACTTAATTCCTCTAGGTCTGAATCGGTCAGACTTAAGAGGCAATTTAGTGATTTTTTAGAAAAACAAACAGGGCCTATGTGTCATTTCAATTGTGGCGTTTATTTTGAGACTAGGGGGCCATTTATCAATTCTTACTGAATTAGTGTTAGCCGGGTAAGAGTGCTGACTCGAGTAAGTATTGTCTCGGGTAAGAGTGTTACCGAGTGTTTTTGGTAAGTGCTTACCAACAATAAAATGACCATTATAACACTATTTCTAATTATATGTAATTATTTTTGTTATTAATAGTTTAATGGAAGGAAAAAAAACAAAATGCATACCTTAAATAAATGCTTACCAATAAAAATAATACTATTTTTACTCTTTTTCGTATGATTAACTGCCAAATAAAATAATAAACTGCATTTTTCATACTTCAAATTAAACAACAAGATATATCTTATTCATGGTGTTTTCAAGTTTTCCAATTGCAAGTGAATAACGACATTCAAATTAAGAGTTGGTTTGATGACCCATCAGATTGTGCATTAATTTCGTTACTTCCCTTCCTAAAGGCTCTGGTTGATATTGAAAATGTCCGTTCTATTATTGCTAAGAGATTTGGTAACAAGGATTAAGTGCCCTTGTTCCTCATTATTTCTGACTTGCAACTCCATTTTTTAATCCTCATTTTAGATGCTCACTCC